CACCATGTCTTAAACGGGTGTCCTTGGACAGGTATCCTTTTCTTCAAAATGGGTTGTTGCGAGACTGAAATGAACTTATTTTTGCTTGTTGGGTTTTGGTGTTTAAATCATCATACCTAGTGGTGTTCAGGGGCTTTACTTTGGTTCCATGCTCAGAGCTCCTTGCCAGCAGTCCTCAGGGAACCATGAGATGCAGGAGGCTGATCCCAGGCTTCCCATACAGGAAGGATATACCCAGCCCAAAACAAAAAAGCAAAACAAACAAAGGTCTTGAGCTGTCTCTGGACCCCAAACATGTCTTTGAAGCACGCATTGCATGGCCAGCACACTGTGGCTACTCACTGGGCAGCATTCATTGTCCACTGAGTGTTTATTACTAGCTCGCCTGCTTCAAGAAATCTCCTTCTGGAATCTGAGCAATCTCCTTCTGGAAATGCTGCCACTTCCCTCTCTCTCAGGTGAGCTGTCTGAGGTCACCTCAATGCTAATAGGACCCCTTCTTGCTCCACCTCTGGGGGAGTCTTTGTTCACCATTTATTATGGTGTAATATAATGCAATATAATATCATACATAACATAACATAATATGATGGGTAGGTTAACTTGGAAACCCTGAGGCGGACAGTGGATGGATGGATAGATGAATAGATACATTTGTACTAAGTATACATACATTATATCATTCTATTGATTTGTAAAAAGTTCCCGGTCTGCCTGGCTGTAATGAGATTTTTGAACTTTGCGTGGCGATCAATGAGAGGAATATTATTGGCCTGGAGAATTGATATACCTGCTCTCAGTGGCTTGTTCTGCTCCCAGGCTGCCCCGGCCCCCCAGGTGTACGATTCCAGCAGACACTTAACCTTTTTTACAGTGTCATCAGGCTAAAAGGAATCTAATAGTGACACAGGACTTGTGCTCAGCACTCTGCCACTATTGCTTTCCTGTCACAAATAATTTATAGCCTTCTATTTCCATCCCCGAGACTACACCCCAGCCTGCCTCCCGCTTTCCCCCCAGCTCCCAGGAATCAATACACTCCCAGAGCCACCACGAGACTTCGGGGGACAAGGGGACAGACAGACAGACAAAGAGAGAGGAGACAGAGAGAGAGGGGCGGGACAGGACTCTCCCCTGTGCTTTCTGAGCTTGGAGATGTCTTTCTGCAAGAGTTTCACCTCATCACATGCTTTCCCGCTAACTCACCACACCCAGCAGACACAGTTGGTCTTTGCGTGGCGGGAGGTAGAGAGCATCTAGAAATGAACCGGAGCAGAAGTGACTCACCTGCCTTGTCATCTGGTCCCTAGAGCTCTACCAATACCCTGGCTGCTCCTGGGTCCTGAAGGAGCTGTTGCATGGGTCTCCCCCCATGTCTGAGGCAGGGGTCCTCACAGACTGTCTTCCTGAGACTCTCACAGGCACCCTCTGTAGGGGCCAGCCCCTGACACCCACTGCCAGTCTTTCCAGGGGGCTCTGTGGAACTTTCAGGGATCAGCCTGGGGCAAATGGAGCTGAGTGGTCCTGGCTGCCTGTGACTCAACCCCTGAATGGAAAGTAGCCAGGCCTTGGGGTCACCCATAGGAATAATAATACCAATCATTATTGTTATTATGAGAGTTAATATTTATTGAGCCACACGTCCTCCTCATTAATTACAGATTACAGGGATTGCCCCATTTACTCCTCCCAGCAGACCACAAGTGGATTGTATTATTAGCTTATTTAACAAATGAGGAACTAAAGAACTGCCTGGGGGTTGCCAGACAATTAGTCACAGAGCCAGGATACACCGTGTAAGGTTGGGACATGTTCAGTGCCCCAAGTCACCATGCTGGGCGAGCAGAGGTGGGCGAGGAAAAGCCTCTGAAAGAAGTAGGAAGCAGACACTTTGGCAGGTCAGTCTTTCTGTGGAAACAGGAAATGTCCCCTCCAGTATCCTAGGCAGAGCTGGACCCTCCCTGGGGCTCCCAATGCTCCAGGGATTCGTATGGAGTATTTGGCTGTCCAGATTTGAGCCATGGAGCTCATGTATTTGAATGGATTTCTTCCCAGGTCAAGACTAAAATGAAGTGGTTTAAGAGATAGCACAGCGGGTAGAACACGTGTCTTGCACTTGGCTGGCCTGGGTCACCCCATATGGGTCCTGAGTAGGCCCTGAGCACCACTGAGTGTGGTCCATAAATAAATAAATAAATAAGGGAGGAAAGGAAATTGTACCTGCTTCACTGGCAAGTGCCCACAACCCAGGGGGTTTATATGGACCCCACAAGCAATAGTGACTCCCAGCAGGCTCTCAGCCTGGCCCCTCTCTCATGGTCCCCCAAACTGCTGCCACGACAAGTAGTTTCCCATCATTTGCTGCCTCGGTTAACTCTGCCCGGTAGCCAGGGCTCAAGGCTCTGGATGATGAAGGTTGAAACCCCAGTGCTGGTGTCCCTAGCCCCAACCCTGAGGCATCCCTGGTGCAGAGTCTTTCATCTTGCGACATCCCAAAAGCTTTGGCTGCAATGACAGAAGCAGCTGTTCAGAGCTGCTTGGTCCCCTTCTAGCAGACTTCTTGTGTGGACCAGTCTACACAGATCCTAGCTTCCATGTTTTCATCATGATCATGCTCCAGATCCTTCCTCCCTGCTCTGAAAGCCTGGGCATTCTATTTTTCTGGCAGCTAGAAATCATGAAAACTCCTTTGGAGGGGCCAGAGACAGAACACAGGGTCAAACAGTGCATGTGGCCAGCCCCGGTCCTATCCCTGGCGCTGCGTGATCCCCAAACACTGCTGGGTGCAGAACTGCGCAGAACCTCCTTGGCCCTTGGACTGAACCATCAGTCCCTTTGACTGAGAACCTCTAGGAGAGGTCCCCAGCTCCCCTGAGGAACCCCCAAAATGTTTCATTTTGAACTTTGGGCCAGCTCAGAATATGGCGCCTCTCCTGCACACTAGCTCCTCTGTCCCTGTGCTGACCGTGGGGGCTCTGCTGGGTCCCCCAGTGAGTCCAGTCTTTCCCTCCTCACGGCTTTGCCTTTTTGGCACCTGGCCTCTCAGCTGCCACTTTCTGCCTCTTGCATCTATGCTCTTCTCTCTGTGCCTTTTCTTCCAGCTCTTCGTCCCCTTTCCCTGCCCCTTTCCTCCTCCTCTTAGACACCCTCTTTCTTTCTCAGGGATCTTGAGAATATACTTGCCTAGGACATTAGTGGTCATCCCAGGTCCTAGTCTGGGCATTTTCTGTCCCCAACCCTCTCCATCTTCACGTCCCCACTAATGCTGTGGATTGCATTCTGGAAAACCCCTTTTGTTGTTGTTGTTTCTGTTTTGGGGCTAACACCCACTGCAGCCTGCACCTGGGCACCTGGACATTCCCCACCCACCTCAGAGGCTGAAGGCCTGGGACTAGCATTGTCCCCTTCTCACGAAAACCTCTCCGCACCCCTCTTCCCTAGAATAGAGCAAATGCATAGCCTTCTAGTTACCCAGACTTAGTGGGTGGGTGACCACTCTGGACTCCAGGGGGTTGCCAAGCCTCTGCTTCATTGTGTCCTGCAATTTCCCTTTTCTTGAGATCAGCTTCTTCTTGACAGGGCCTATTCTGTTATTCTCTTTTCCCCGGGAACCAGTTTTCCATATCCCCTTAAGCTTAGGAACCATCCGTGGGCTTGAGACCCACTGAAGCTGACGCCTTTGCATTGGGGGTGGGGCCTTTCCATCCCCGGCATCCCATATGGTCCCCTGAGTGCCTCTGCACCTGGGGGACTCTTCCAGGTGCCCAGCCCCAAGGTAGAGGTCTCCTCGAAGCTTTCCTGGGCTCCATCTTCCCTCTCCAAGTTCACTGGCAGGGGCCCGTCTCCACTGCTTGCTGCTGAAGGCCATCCCAGCTTGAGACCCACTTGCTGGCAGGGGAACCAGCAAAACCCTCTGAAGAGCAGACAGTACCTTTGGCAAAATCGCTCACAAGGGCACCTGCTTTGCCCCCTGGGCACTGGGCCAGTTGGTCATCTCCATCCTGGCCCAGGTTGGGCTTTTGCATCCCTGAGGCCCAAGTCTGTTGTATCGCTGACAAGCTGCTTCCTTTCCAGCTCTGGGGAAGAAGCTACAATAAGGTCTTATGGGTAAGACCTTAGAAGGAAGCCAGCAGCTCTGTGAGCTGGAAGTGGACAGCTCAGGCTAACTGGAGCGCTGGAAGGGGGTTAAAGTAGTTGATCTGTGCTGGGCTGGAGTCTAGGACCAGTGGAGGGTGCTCAGCCCTGTCGACTCAAACAATAGACAAACATTGCCCCTTCCCTCCACTCTGGAGGGCTGAGATTTAGTCTCAAGTAAAGTCAGCTTCCCAATGGATCCCCAGACCACTAAGTCCCATTCCTGGAGGTGAAAGCCTGTGGTTCAGAAGTGAAAGGTGTCCCTGTTCATTTCAGGGCTATTCGTATGCCACAGAAGGGGGAAGGGTGATGTGTACCTCAGTTCTGGCGGCACATGGAAGAGTGGGGTGCAGATTCCTTCCTGGGGAGAGCAAGTGAAGTATGGGCCTTTCATATGGCTAACCCAGGCTCAAATCTCTGGCATCAGAGCTGGAGTGATAGTACAGCGGGTAGGGCATTTTCCTTGCACGCGACCAAGTGTGGTTCCATCCCCGGCATCCCATATGGTCCCCCGAGCACCACCAGGAGTCATTTCTGAATGCAGAGCCAGGACTAACCCCTGTGCATCACCGTGTGTGACCCCAAAAGACCAAAACCAAAAAGATCTCTGGCATCTCATAGGGTCCCCTTAGCCTCATCATGAGTGGTCTCTGAACACACCTGGGTGTGGACCTCAAATAAACAAAGACACTTAAGAACGAGCCAGAAACAGCTGGACGAGGTGGGGTGCATGAAGCCCACGGAGGGTGAACGCAGGCCTGGTGGCTGGGGTGCAGGCTGAGGCACAGGGCACGGGTGAGGTTAGGGGAGGGCTTGACCCTGGCAGGAGGGGGTGTGTGACATGACCCTTTGTGATACTGTTACAGGATCATCCGCACCAAAGTCCAGCAGCCTTTCCACCCAACGCCGGACGGAGCCGGGACAGGGGTGACTGCCCCCGGCCACACCATTGGTAAGAGGCTCGGGGAAGGGGAGATACTGGGGCCTCCAGGAGAGCCAGAATTCACCCTGGGGACTGTTTACCCCACCAAGGCCCAGCCCCCATGCTCCGCCCCACTTCTAGAGGTCCAGGCCCCCCAGAGTTGAGCACTTGGGTGGTCTCTGCTGCCAGCCATGGCAGGTGTCTATCTCCTGTCCTGTCTCCTCTGTCTCCATTTTCCTCTCCCTCATGAATACTTTTTCTTTTTTTTTTTCTTTCCCTGGTCTTCTCATTCTCCATCATTCTGCTGTGCTGTGATTTGGTCTCCCTGTCTGTCCTTCTCTCTTCCATATTTTTATTTTCGTACTCTTGTTGGTTTTTATGGACTTTCTTCTTCTTCCTCTCCCTTCACTCTCCTTTCCTCCTCAACCCCGTGGTCTCTGGGACCTGCCCCACCATCCCTCCGTCCCTCTTCATCCCCACAACTGTCCCTGACATCCCCTCTCCATCTCTCCTGTCCATTGGGTGACTCTCTCCAACCTCCTTCACTGACCCTCTCCCAGAGACCAGGCTGGGTGGCAGGTGTCTATGCCCTGTGGTCCCCTGGCAGCTGTCCCCTTCTCTCCACCAGCAGGCAGCCCTCCTGGGCCTACGTGACTGCGTGCTGGGAGCCAGGGCCAGGCTGTCCCCGACTAAGCCCGTCACCATGCAATGCCTATGCCTTCTTAGTGGACTTTAAGGACAGAGGTTACAGAGAGGGGGGAAGTTTGCCCCCAGGGACTCTCAGGAGCACTCCTGTGTCTCCAGAGGAGCAGAGTCAGAGTGTTGGAAGTAGCGCCTCCCATCAGGACTGGGAAGGTGGCCCCAGAGCCCAAGGGATGGGAGCCCTGAGAGAATCCTGAGTGAGCCCCGAGAAAGGTGCTGTCTCTAGAAGGATTTGCCCAGCCCCAGGACTGAGCCGGCCATGCCAGGAGCCATCCCGGAGGCCGGGCCCTCATCTGGAATCTGAGCCACTTCCTAGATGAACTCAGCTTAGGGGTCTCCCTTTAGCCTCCGGGGCCCCATGAGAGTTGTGCGCAGAGTCAGGGACTGGCTGCCATCCCCAGCTCAGGGCTAATCAGGAATGCAGAGCCTGAATCACCCTGTCGCCATTGTCTATCCATGCTGAACTGCCTTGAAGGATGGGGAACGGGGCTCGCCGCCCCCCCCTCCCCCCCGCGCTTGCTGCCCCAGCTCTCCTGATGGCCTCTCCCCCCTCCTGCAGTTCCCAGCACGGCCTCCCCTCCTGTCTCCAGCGCCTCCAATGATCCAGTGGGATCCTACTCCATCAACGGGATCCTGGGGATCCCTCGCTCAAATGGGGAGAAGAGGAAACGTGATGAAGGTAGGAGGAGGGAAGGGCCTTGGCTGCCCGTGCGCGCGTGCTTTGTCCGGGACAAGGGCTCCGGTTTCGGGCCGGCCTCACAGCTGCTCTGCTGTGAGATCAGCTTCGGTGGCAAAGCCCAGGTCCCCCCACTGCCCGGCTGGCTCTGGAGCGCGGGAGAGGGAGGCGGGCATCAGCTTTGCCATCTGCTTAGCAGCCCTGATGCTGTGCCTTTAGCAGAGGTTCACCGGCATCTCCCCAAGGACAGCAGGAGCTGAAGCATGGACCATGGTCCGCAGGGACAGTGGAGGACAGCTGGCCTCTGACTTGAGACTCTCTTCCCTGCCTTGTCCTCCCCTGACCCCAAGCCACTGGAGGCAGAGGAAGTGGGGTCACATACAATCAACCCTGATCTCCTCTTGTAACCCGCGGTCACTGCACCCAGGAAAGCCACTTGGGGGACTAGACAGGGACGCCCTCCCTTTCCTTCTCCATGGGAGGAGATACCCCTCAGACTTCTCGTGCCCCTCCCCTCATTCCCTGTCAGATTCCCAGGTGCTCCAGCTGTGAGTGGGGAACTAGAAGGAGAGACAGTAGTGAGAGCAGAGTGGGGCCAGCAGCTTGGGAGAAGGAGTTTTTCAAAGGCGACATTAGGAGGCTCCTGGCTCTCTTCTGATGCTGGAGGCCAGGTGCGAGGCTGGCAGCCCAGTCAAAAGGGGGGCTCCAATGTTTGCAGTCCATTTCCTGCCCACATCACAGACCCCGCGGGAGGGCGCTAACCTCTGCTCTGAAGCGCATCATCCAGGAAGTAGACAAACGAAGGGGCCATGGAGCTTGCCCCCTGCCAGTGCAGGATAGTCTCCATTCTGCCTTTCTTCATGCTGGCCCGCCAGCATCTCCCTTTTCTCCTGAAACTGTTCTGTTTGGATAATCAATCATCTGGTCATCGTGAGCACCGACAGGCCCTGGGTGGGGGCAGCTTTGGAGGCAAAAGAAGTGAGAAAGCGGGCAGCTCGGCGGTGCCGAGACAGCGGGAGTGGCGTGGCCGGCAGAGCAGGCACAGTCTAGGGGAGGCCTAGCCCGGCCCAGCAGCCCTGACCTGGTGCTGGCCTCCTTCCAGAAGCCCTAATGGCCTCGTTTCACAGGGAAACAGCTTGTCTGGCTCTATTTCTCCTTCTTCCAAAATATCCAAACCCATTTGGCTGCCACGGCCTTTGCCACTCACTAAATTTCATTGTGGTTGTTTTGGCGGCCACTGCTAATGAGCAGGGGGAGGCTCTGCTCTCGGGGGGCTCTCAGGCCAGGGCTTCGCCAAGCTCCCTGGCACCCTCTGTGATCTGGAAGATTCTGCCTCCCACCCCACCCACCCCCCAACTCCCACCCCCGCAGTGGTCTCTCCTCACCAGCAGTCCTTGCAGTTCTTAGAGTGTGTGATGCCCAGAGGTGGGATGCGGGGTGCTCTGTTCTTTTCCCCTTTGGCCCTTCTCCTCTGCGGGCCATGAACAGAGCGCCCTGGCCGGAGGCTGTGGCCAGAACAGTGTGTGTGCCTCCTCTCTGAGCCACTGGCCACGTTCGTTGTGCCAAGCTCATTCGATTCGGTGGCCCTTCCCTGGGCACTTGACGCCAGAAGGGCTCAGTGCTCCAAGGTCCTAGCAGGACACGATGCGAGACTCATCCCTGAGGAGCTTGTAGTCTAAGGGGGTTTGTCAGTCCATGAGCACAGGGTGCTGTCTGTGTGCTGAGGGGGGTTGGAGAGGGGAGCTGAGGGGGCTGCAAGGTGGAAGGGACACATTCAAAGACAATGGTCCTATGGGATTTTGTCTATCTAATAAGACAGCTTGGTGGCCAGAGGTGTGGGGGAGGAGATGGTGGGACATGTGGGAGGAAAGGGCCCCTAGTGGAAATAGCCTGAGGCAGATGAGTGAGGTGACAAGAGACCAGGCCAGGGCTGGACCATGGAAAGAGCTGGACGTCTGTCTGTAGACATGTGTGGGCTCCGGGAGTGTCGGAGCAGGAAGGGAGAAGGCTGGCCTGGCCCCAGAACCCTCAGCGTCCAGCAGGGCAGGGTGATGTCAACAGGGATATGCATCAGGGACTGGTGGGACCTCTCAGTTGCCTTTCACTGCTTAAACACAGACCTCCTGGGCCTGCCCAGGGGCAAGAAGGATCAAGGACCCTACTTTGGGGAAAAGAAAGAGAAACCTCTCGTCTGTTTTTTTCCATCCCTGTCCTCTCCCTCTAAGCTAGAAACAAAACTCCCTCCTCACCACCACCTCCACACATTTGACCCCTGGTCCAGGTGGGAAGGAAGAGGAAAGGCAAGGAGAGAGCCACAATGGGCCTCCCCAGCCCCCATTACACACACACACACACACACACACACACACACACACTGGGTGCCTCCAAGCAGCCAGGTCCAGTTTGCATTCAGGAGCAGCTCAGATGATTAAGAATAGGGGAGATAATTATGTGTCAAGATGATGTAGCCCAACTCCGCAGTCAGGCCAAGGTAGCAAAGCAGCTGGCAGGCCGGTCCAGGAGGCGGCCTCAGCGTGCACTGCAAACACCCTAGGGTGTCCTTTAACTATCAGGGGCCCAGCAGGCTGAAGGAGAAATGGATTTGGGGGCCATTGAAGGATACTGAGATGGGAACAGGGACCCACATCAAGGGACAAGACCCCTCCCCCCTTGGGTGTGGAGGAACAAGTCTCCCTCCCTCTCCCCCCCCCACACCAGTTTCCCCCTCCCACACTCACAGCTGTCCCTTCCACTGAGTCTCATGCCCTGAGGGCAAGCCTGGAGCCTCTCTGTCCTCCCAGAAGCAGCTTGGGCCTGCTTCTGGGTCCAGTGCAGCCTATTCTTCAGCTCTAACAATGTCACGGTGGTGGGCATTAGCGAGGACAATCATTGCAGTGTGTGCTGGCATTACTGGAGACAATCTCAGCAGTAGTTATTGGTGTTCACAGTGATAATACCCAGAGCATTATTGGCATTGGCACTCGGAATATGGACAGTGTTATTAGTATCTGCAGCAATCATATCAGTGGGGATATTAGTAAAGGGCCGATCAGCTGTGACTCTGGGGAGGCAGCGAGCTGACAGTGACCTCATGCCCGCTGGAGACACCGCTTCCTGTCTTGGCCTTGGGACCTACAAGAAGCCCCCACCTCCGGACATTCCTTTCAGAAATGTGCTATTCAGGCTGCTTTAAAATCCCACCCCATACCCCAAGAGCTCCCAGAATGAGTGAGGTGGACAGAACAGAGACAGATGAGTCAGGAAACCTGAGTCACAGGCTAAGTCACGAAGCACCCAGAGGCCATCTATCCATCTGACACCGCACATTCCCAGCCAGGACCCCCCCCAAAATTCCTTACCCCCTTCTTAGCTACAATTGTGGGGAAGGGAGAGGGGACATCTGATGGACCTTCCAAGGACACTGCTTCCCTGGCATGTGCTTGTCCTGGCCCAGGTGGCTGGAGGACACAGTCCCTCTTTCCCTTTCTCTAACCAGGCTGGCAAGCCACAGTCCTTGCTTTCACCCAGGTACTTCCGGCTGCACCCCAAGCATTGCTCTCCACAGGCTGTAGCCCAAAGCCATTGCCTCCTTTGTCCAGAGACCCCATGGAAGCCATCTGGGGTGCATTTGTTGAAGAGGGGTGTGTGAGGGGTGTGTGAGGGGTGGTGTCTCGCACTGTGATGGGGATTACAGGGGTGTGGTTTTGCCTTTCATTCATTAGATGCAGTTGAGTAGCACCAACAGGTGCTGTTGTTTGTGCCTTGGCTGGCAGGATGGGCTGCCCGCTGCAAAGGGCTGGTGCTGTCACCTCTCCTGAGCACCCTTCTGCTGTGGAACGAAGTGGTGGCTGGGAGAAGCAGTGGGTGTCTTTAGTTTTCCTTCTAGAAATTCCCTGGATTTCAATGCTCCAGTTAGACTGGGGAGCTTAGACTGGAAATGAGGGACCCCTGCCCTGTCCAGCACTCTGGCTGGACGCAGGGCAGGTGGTGAAGACTCCCACCAAGAAGGAGTTAGGCCAAGGCAGGGGGCAGTCAGTCCCTGAAGGGTGGCACAGTTGGGCACTGGGGCTTAGTGGGGGAGGGAGAGGCACCACTGGGTTTGAGGCCTCGTACCTTGAGGATCTTATCATAGCTACATAGCTATGTCCTCCATCAGCTTAGCTTTCTCCAGGGGAAATCACAGCTGTGCCTCCTGCAGGTAGCCCTAGGACACAGCTCTGAGGTGCCGAGCTCAAAAGATGGGTCATTGTGGTCCTGAGGAGAAGGTCTAACTGGCTTATGTGTGGAGGGAAAATGAAGTCCAATGGGGATGGAGACATACTTAGGGACAGGCTCTCTATCCTTGGCGTGACTCTCCAGAAGCAAAGCACTCTAACTAGAGGCATCGGTTCATCTCTGCTGGCTCGTTAGTTCTGCAGTTCCCGTGCTGAGGTCCTGGTCACCTCTAGCATGCCCAAAGGGCCCCTGAAGACCCCAACTTTTGCGAGGGTGTCACTAGTCTTAAGAACCCTTCCATTCTGACATGATGTATTGTTCCTCTGCCCACCAGTGTGCCTTCCCACTCCCGCAGACAAGTGGATTCACCTCGGAGAGCACATGCTTATCTTATGGTCCTGTATGCAACTTTGACAAGGCTTATGCAGTTGTGCGCGCATGTGTTTTCTCCCGTTCCCTGGTCTTTGGGTGAAGGAGACGTGGTATATGGCAGCTCCTTTACATGTAGAGCTTCGAAGAGATGAGCGGTTACAAGCATGCATGGCTCCATCCCTCTACCTCCACCGCTGTCCCCAGGGAGCCAGGAGAGCCATCAGCCAGCCCTGCATGTGCCCAGCACCTGTGGTCATGAGGTACACACGGGGCTGACTAGAGTTTTGCCCCAAGGGCCCGGGACACCTCCACCTGCATTTTGCGGCTGGGTTGTCCTCAGGGTGCCTCTAGGGGTGCCCTGGGTCTAGGAGGCTGAGACTGGCAGCCCTCCCGCTCAGGCTCAGAGCCCTGCAGAG